ACACCATGCCCCAAGCTTTGGGGCTGTTCTCTCTATGATACTGTCTATACATACACTTGTCCCCCTTAGGCTTTCAGAGCCCTTTGGTCCCTTACAGAGTCTCTCCCTGGACTCCTGGACCTCCGGTCCCACACACAGCCGTTTCTCTGGGCTCTTGAACCCCTGGTCCTGTGTGCCACCCCTCCTCTGGGTCCCTCTGTGGGATCAGAATAGAACAAAGGCCACTTTCTTGAGAAAAAACTCAGTCCTTCTCTGCCCAGGGGCTTGCCCCTGCTCCCAGGCCTGCAGAGTTGCTTATAAGTTGCAGTCCTTTCAGAAACCCTGCTGCCCAGAGCGCCTCCCCCCACAGCTGCCAGGGAGACTGACGGGCTCAGGCTCTGGGCTTACATAGCTCCAGCCAGAGCCCTCTTTTGGTCAGGCGAGTCTCATTAGCCACCTGCAAGCACCTCACAGGCTGCTAGCTCCTTTCAAGGAGCAGGCAAGTTGTTTGGGTAGATGTGATCTCTTTTATTAGACCAACTAAATAGTTGGAAAAAAGTTCTTAGCAAGCTTTCGGGCACAAACACCCTCTGTCAGGCATTGAGAGACTCTGCTGGTGTTATGTATTCTCCAAGGTAGAAGAGAAGCTAATTTACAACACGGATGTCTGGGAAAATGCAAGCGAGTGGAAGTTGGGAAGACAATGGGTAGAGATGGGGGGCGGAGGGGAGGGAAGGAGGGAAAAGTGTGATGGAGACTAGAAACAAAGGGCACAAACTGAGTGAAGTTCAGATTGGACATAAGGAAAAGCTTCTTTACAATTCAAGTGCTGAGGGTCTGACCAGACTCCCCCTGCGAAAGCCAGTGGCCAGCAGGAGGCAGGTTCCCCGGGGTGGCAAGTGCCGGGCGGGTTGTAACGCCTCAGAAATCCAGGGTCTATATTGCATCCATGACCTTTTGCACCCAGTAGATCTACGAATTGAAGCTCGCAGGCTCCCGTTTTGTTAAGTCCCTTCAAGGAGCATCGACCCCCCACCACAAAAAAGGGGTTTTGCATCCAATCCCAGCCTCCCCCGCTCCACGCCCGGCTATACCCACTAGGCCTGACCGGCGCGGAGGCCCCTGCGGCTCGAGGCCCCCTCAGGCCCCAGCGCCGAGCCGCGGGAGTCCCGCAGCCTCCTCCCGACACTCACCGGCCAGCAGGCACTTGGCGGCCAGCTTCGCCATGCTCCGCGCGCGCCGCAGGCCTCGGCGGTTTCCTAGCAACAGCCTCCTCACCGCTCGGGGAAGGGGCGGGCCTTATCCGGAACGACCATTGGCTGCGGGAGCTGTTCATCATCCGCCCACCGCTCCGGCCCCATTTGGTTTCCCCACCCCTCCCCATGAGACTCTTCCCATTGACTCGAAGGCACGTCCATCCAAAAAGACACCCTCGTCATTGGGGAAGGGTGGCTGCCAATCAAGCCCGGAATGTCCCGCCTACGGAGAGGGGCTGAGTGGCCGTGGAAGGGTGACTTCTGTATCGAGCCCTGGCTGCTTCCTTCCAGCAACTCGTGACACTTCATGAACCCTTTTTTTGATTGGCCCGATCACGGAGGACCGTACCATTTATTGGTGGGGGAAGCTTGGTGTTGGATAAATACAAGGAAGGGGGGTACAGAGACAAACACGTAGCCTTGCTGTTTCCCTGGGGGGTGGTTGTGCAGCGCATTGGGAGCGCGGAGGGGGAAACGTACCATTCTTACTCAGGCTTCCCCCCCCACGCAGTGGGCTCTTCCATGCTGTTCTGGAGCTAACGCTAAGGGACTAGGCCCTCCGCGCATGCGCATGAGTCTCCTAGGCTCCTGCCCACTATCTTGCACGTGCTTGTTGCTGGGCGAGCGGGTGGGTGCAGTACGTGTCTGTCATGCCCAGGCCCAAGGGAAGGTTCCATTAGGGCTGTGTCCAACCTTGACCACTGGGCTTCTTCAACACTTTGTGACCCACAGCCATCAGGAGGTTTCAAAGCAGCCACACGCATCTAGTACTAAGTGCTTCCCACTGCCTGCACCTCTGAGGAGTCCTGACTGTGGTGTGTCAAGTTCTGCCCCTGCAGGGCAAGAGACCTGCACCGGAGTCAGTCCATGGGATCCTGGTGGAATTTTACTTGAAGTTCTGGGATTTAGTTAAGGGGGGGATCTATTGACTCTCTTTTGGAAAATGATGGATTGGGGTTGGGTTGGGGAGGAGTTTGCACAGGGTGTTGTTCTGATCTTTAAGAAAGGTGGGGCGGGAGCACATCAAGAACTGGAGGCCAGTCACCTTATTGAATTTGGATTATAAAATGTTCTCAAAGATCTTAGTGGCAAGGTTGGCGGAGGTGCTACTGCAGGTGCTGGGTAGGGAACAAATGTGTTGGGGGGACGGGGGGGCGGCAGACGACACAAGCGTATTGGGTACTTTGGGATACGCTGTCATATGTTGCTGACCAGAAGTGGAACACTATAGTCGCGAGCATGAACGACGCGTGGCCCTGGAGGCTGGCAGGGTACAGCGACCGCCTGCAGGCAGCGGCAACACTGTTGGCGGTGGGGGCGCAGTGGTAGTGAGCGGGGATGGCTTGCAGGTGGCCACGGTGACATTGGCAGTGAGAGCGGGCTGAGCAGGGACTGCCCGCAGGTGGCCACAGCGGTGTCAGCAGTGGGGGGGAGGGGGACATTTGGAGTGGACTCTGGGGTGAGACAAGGGTGTCCACGGTCGCCAGGGCTCTTTGTTTGTGCCATTGAGCCTCTGGCGCAGCAGGTCGGGGGGGATAGGGTGATCAGTGGGATTAGGGTGCCAAGGGGAGGGGATATAAAAATTGTCTTTTACATGGACCACGTGACATGCATAATGAGGGATGAGGTGTCCCTGGAGAGGGTGATGAAGCACACAAATGAGTTTGGGGAGGTATCTGGGCGAGGGTGAATGGGGAGAAGAGTGTTTATCTGGCGATAGAGAATTGGGGGGATTTGGGGAAATTTGGATTGCGGGTGGAGAGGGAGGAACTTAAGGTACTGGGTGTATGGATGGATATCCAGGGGAAAGGGAAGTATGGATGGATATCCAGGGCATGAGAGGTACTGGAGGGGAGGGTGAAACAGACGGTTGGGTTGTGGGGAACACAGGGCTTATCATCTAGGGGGAAGGTGAAGGTTATCAAACAGTGCCTGTTGATTTTGTACCTTGGTATGGTGTACCCCCCATCCTGGCTACAGGCGCGGCGGGTTCAGTGGGCCTTGTGCCTCTTCTCTGCAGGGGGTGGGAAAAACAGAGAAGGTTGCTAGGACAGAGTTGTATAAGGAAGAAGGGTTGGGGTGGATAGGGTTTCCCCAACATAGAGGTTTTTGTTTATGTCCACTTCTTGAAAATGGTGGTGAGAGAAGCAAGGCGGGGGCACCAGGAATGATTTTGAATTTCTGTAGGCTCTGGTGGGGAAGGCTATTACGAAGGTTGGGGCTGGTTGGGAGCGCAGGTGGAGAGGGGTGCAGGCTTGGTGGATCTTTTGTTATGGGGCAAGGCTTGGAGGGGCTGGGGCTCGAAGAGCTGGGGGATGCAAAAAGGGTATTGAAGTTTGTGAGGAGGAGGGAGAGGATGACAGATGTGGGAGAGCTGAGATTAGAGCAGGTAAGTGTCACAACCCAAAGTTGTGGTTTTTTGTTTTTGTGTGCTTCGGCACCCCTAAATTATGTCCCCGCCAAATTGCAGCTCCTTTGCACGGTAGAGTTTTCTGCTGCAATAGAGAACCCGCGTGCAAAACAGTATTTCCCGCCACTTTGTAGCCTTCTTTGCGTGGTGCATTTCTTTTGCATCATAGTGATGCACGGTGCAAAGGAGTTCCCGCCATTTGTATTTAGATTCGCGCCACATTATTGGCTGATCCTAAATTATGCACATGTGGTGGCTAGCAATTGGCTTGCTAGCCGTATAAAGAGCTTGGGAGGTTTCCACCCAAGTTGGAGAGAGTGAGCGTGAGCGGAGTTTGGGAGAAAGAGCGTGAAGATTTCTAAGCGCTGCTAATCCCTTCGAATCCAGCTTTTCTTAATGATTTGCTGTGGGGTGCAGTGCGTACCTATATGCTGTGACTCACTCAAGAAGTTGATACCTACCCCTGTCAACCGAGTGCTGTTCATGAAACCTTCGGTCATGGATCCAATCCAGAAGAACCGAGAAGATTCAAAACGGTTCTTGATGCTGAAAGGAATGATCGAGGACTATGGTCCCATTTCATAGGGTCATAGCCTCGAAGTGGGGATTTGATGTAATCTTTTTATGTAATCTTTTTTATGGTATATCTAGCTTTTGCAAACTATATCTAACTGAATACTTAAGGCAACTTGCAGATGCTGGGAGGGGTGTGGTATGTGTGTGTTAAGAGATGCTTGCAGAGCACAGCGTGTGGGATGCGGAGGATTCCTGGAATGCCTCCCTAACACCAGCAGGATAATGTCTCCCTGACACTTGTAAGATAGCAAGAAGTTCAGAAAAAGGTCTCATTATAATGCTAAAAATCACACCCCTGGGCAGGGCAAAAGTATGTTAATGAAACATATATGTATGTAAATGAATTACATGGCTAAAACATAGGTATAGAGACATGCTCAGTAGAGAACGTCTTATGTCAGTGGCTTGTAACCAATCACTGAGCGATACACTTGCAAACATATGTATAAAAGGTACCCAAAGGTAGAAACCGGTGGTGCTTGCTTTGCAAACGATTGCCAAGCACCCCTCTCTGCGCAGACTGGAAACAATAAAGATTAAGTTGGATCCTCCACCCCTGTGTGTTCATTGGCAATAGCGCACCGGGCACGAACTCACACTGTTCGTTGGGGACAACACTCTAGCGAGAACTTAAGCGGGGCTGAGCCTGGAAAACTGTCCAGCCTACACCACGACCATCTTTGGTGTAAGTAAACAATCTTTTAATCAACCATTACGAGTCCATGCCTAATTCTAGCGTGTCGCCTGTTCTCTCCGACCCCACGTGCTTGGGCTGCTGGCCACAGCCCGCGCAGAGCACAAAAAGGGGCCCGGCTCACACCCGGCCCGCACAGTAAGTAGGGTACAGAAAGGGGTGGTGGGGAAGGACTGGAAAGGGGTGCACGAGGAGCTGGCATGGAGGGCGGTACGGAGCGTTTTGCTGGTGTAACAGCTGCTCTATCGTTGGGGGCTGTTGTGGTCCCCCAAGTGCCCAAGAGAGCTTTGTGATGAGCCTGAGTTGGCGCCACATGTGCTGTGGGACTGTTTGTTTTTATGCTTAACGGGCGTGGGGATGGGTAGCGATGTATTTGAAGGATATGGGAAGGGGGATGGGGATCATGCTCGAAAATGTCTTATATGGGTTATCAGAGGAAACGGATGGGACGTGCGGGGTGAGGGTGTTGATCACGTATATGAAAGCAGCGCTATGGAAAGCACATTCCCTATTGGCGCTAAAGGAGTTGTGCTTTTCCACGCTGGAGTGCTTGCAGTTAGGGGTCCACAAGTTGGAGTTTTATAGAGGTAGGGATGGGGACAAGAGGGAAGAAGGGGATGTGAGGTTGTGGCAAAGGCTGGACTGCAGGGGGTTGTTCCAGCCCCATATAGGTATTGGTTAAGTTGAGGAAAGTTATTGGTTAAGTCCTGACTGCAGGAAAATACCAGCGATTCTTCTGTTGCAAAGACCTCAGAAAGCCCACAGCATGACAGAATGGTTTTAGCCCTGTTTGGATAGAGCAGATCCTGGCTCAGGCAGGGGGTTGGACTAGATGACCTCTAGAGGTCCCTTCCAGCCCCGCTTCCCTGACTCTTACGATTATTACTGGAAATCTGTGAGTTTTTATCTTGAGAGTCAAACTAACATTGTGAGGCACACTTGACAGGATTTTGAGGCACCCTGGTTGAGAATTATTGGTCCAAAATATGCTCAGTTCCCCATGGCTGCCTCAGTGGAAGACATGTTTTAAATGCAACTTCACTAAGCCAACTGTAATTTACCCCTGGTGCAAGTTCAGTGAGCAAAGTCAGTGGTAGAGCAGCTCTTTTAGCCTATTATCCTTTCCCTTTTCTCTTAAATTCTTGAAACCACCACCATGGTCCAAGGCATCCCGACTCAAATATCATTGACTTGGTTCCTTCCCCACTTCTTAACCTCCAAGCTCTCACTCAGTGTTATTTTTTCCTCTGCAGCACATCAAGTGCTGTTGTCCTTTATTGCTAATTCTTAGGTAATCTTCCACATTGTTTATGGGAACTTGTTTTCCAAATTGTTGGTTTTCCTTCCTTCTCCCC